ACCAATATTTCTTTACACAATATTTAATAACTTTTATTATAAACAACAGTGACAACAATAAAATTGGTATAAGAATAAACACAGCTACATTAAAACATCATGCACCTATTTAAAAAATGAGTTGGATCTTTCTTTATACTCACCTCAAGTAATGGCTATGACACATTGTTAAAATAAATAGCAAGTTGCAAAATCATATGCATAATATGATAGCTGAGGGAAAACAACTTAATTATATCAACTGTTGTGAAGGCATAGGAAATGAATACTTCAAAACCTGTTGTTAGAACATAATTGATATACTTCACTGCAGAGAATTTGCCAGTATCTATCAAAGCTAAAAATGCTCATATCATGTGATTCAGTATTAAAAAAAAAATAAAACACTCTAAAGGAGTCTATGTACTCTGCATTTTAAGAACATTTAATCTAAGATTTCCTTTAGGTTAAAACACATTTTTTTAAATTAAATATATTTGTATACTAACCTATTGAAGAAAATAGGAATGCTTTCTCTTCTTTCAACCTGCTATTTGCCCATTCTGCTCTTCCTCTAACCCCTGACTCACTATTTCTTCTGGTGAGATCTTTGGGGATTTTAGTCCCAAATAGCTCTTTGTTTTCAATAAACCACAATTGTATGAGCTTCACTACATGATTTATTGATTTATTTGCTCACCTATCTATGTCCCTCTTCAATTCATTTTGTTTCACCAAAGGACAAGCTTAAATATTCACTTTACAGAATACGTGAATGATTACCTTTCTGAGTTTTATCATGTTTGTAAAGTCTTATTCTACATTCATACTTAAATGCTAATGTAACTGGCTATAAGAATTTAGGTTCAAAATCAATTCCTTCAGAATCTAAAATTTTGTCCCACTTAGAATCTCTTTTTGGTAAGTCTTATACAATTTTTATTTCCATTTCTTTTTTTTCTTTGTAGACTAACTTAGATTTTTTTCTTTATCATTAGTGTTCTCAAAATTTGCCTTTTAATGTTTTGACTAATTCATTCCTTCAATAAATATTTATTGAGCACCTACTATGTATCAAGCAGTGTTCTGTGTGCTAGAGATATGTCATTGAACACAATAAACAAACATATGTGGTTTTTGTTACTTAATCCACTGGTTACTTGTAATTGGTGTCATATTTCACTCTGAAAATATTTAATAATAACTGCTGTGATTATTTCTTTTCTTCTACCTTTTCTGTTCTATGTACTTAGAATGCTTAGAAAACAGATACACTGTACATTCTTGATGCTTCTTCTATATAATATAAACTTTCTGTCATTTTAAATATCTGTTTTTTTCTCCATACTGGAGAAACCTTTGACTTGCTACTCATCAGTTGTGTCTATTTTGCCATTAAGCTAATTAATGAGATCTTTAAATTTCTACTACTATATATTTAAATTACAAAGTTACCTATCTTCTTCACATAATGCCTTTTTTTATAAATATTATATCCTTTCTTCAATATGAATTAAAGCTTTTAAAATACTTTGTATTTAGTCAAGTGATATTTTCAGGTAGAAAGTCTATTTGTTGAATTTGGTGACTCTTCCTTATAGTGATAGATTTTCTCAGTCAGTTCTTGCTTGTCTGGTCATCTTTGTGTTCCCGCATCACTGTTTTACTGTCTAAAATCTAGAACGTTTTACTATCTAGAATCTAAAAGAAACTCAAACAATTGAACAAGCAAAAAACAACTACCCCATTAAAAATGGGCAAACGTCATGAACAGACTCCTGGATGTCACAGCTTTCTAAGGAACTAACTCATCAGGCCTCAAAGCCTACACTCATCACTTTATCATGACAGCAAATTGTAACATTCCATGGCTCAGCACAATTGGAGAAGAAAAGGGAGGCTGACTGGTTCTCAGGCTCAGAAAACAATTACATTACAACTGAACCAATGTTCCAGAAACTATGCCTGCCTTAAATTCATTTACTTTGAGCTTGAAGCTCCCTGGAGATCACACCCACATCTCTGATGGGATTCTGCTTTCTTTTGTGCTGTGCCTTTTCTACAGTGTTCTTCTGCATGAAGCAAATCCACGTTATCTTCCTTAATTATTCCTGTCATGAATTATTTTTTATTACATAAGATTTAGAATATAAAAAATATATTTTAGGCTATCTTAAAAGACTTGTAGAAAATACATGCATATGTTTAGCTATCAACCTTTATTCAACTACTTTATTTTCACACTACATTAATTAAGAAAAAAGCATTTTCTAAAAAATGGTTACTTTTATCTAAAATATGGAAAGCTGAAAGTATTGAATATGTCCCTGATAAAATAATCATAGGGAAGGCAAGAAAAACAAGTAAGTTTTATTTTGTTTTTCCCCATATTCATTGTTAAGCTATTGTCGCTTAGATTCAAACCATTCTTCCTCATTTCACCTATAGGGCTGAGATTCTGGGAACCACAGTTCTGTTGTCAGCTAAATTATTATTAGGCTACCAAAAGGGGGAAGCAAAGAGAGATATTAGAAGGCTAGAAGATGAAGAAAGGATACTTTGCTTCTAGGCTGTTTCCTGTTGCTGTTTTGTTTCCTATTCTCAGCATAACTGAACAGTGCTTCAACCTGATAGTAGCTAGTTGTTCCAATAGTAAAACTGATTCTAGTTTGCATTTTTTTCAACAACCATAGAATCAACTCTGTTCTGCCTCCTCACAGATGCCAGGTAATGCCAACTGGTGCCCCCTACTCAAAGGTGTGGGTCCTAGCACACAGCACTTCATGGCATTCGTGAGGCAGCATCACAACTCAGCAACACACTTTCCTCGAAGTTTGTCTTAGCTCATTGAGTCCTTCATCAAAACTTCTAAACTTTAATAACCCTAGCCTCTTCCTTTTATTCCCCAGCATTAGAGATGCTCTGTGAAAAATGCGGTGTTCTCTTTTTTCAGGTTTTCAATTCCTGGCTGACACTTATTTGTGTTAAATTCTCTTGTTAAAACAATTGCTGGGGTTTCTATCACCTAACTGGACTCTGAAAAATATACTTCCCTATCTATATTGGCTGCTTTGTATGCCCAACAAGACTCCTGTCTTAATGTCAAAACCATTAATTTTATTAGATGTGAAAATGATCATCATCTATTATTTATATATTTTACTAAAATGTTTTAAAATATGGCTAAAGAAAAACAGATATGAGTCTTCTTCTTGCTTGTAATTTCAAAGCAGTTCAAGATGACTTTGAAAAGGAAAATAAGCATTTCCAAAAGATTTTTCTCCAAACCAGTTTTTCTGAAACTGCAAAGAACTAGAATCCTCCCTGTATGTCTTTGGAAATTTTTTCATTCCAGTAGACTAATTAATTATGGGTTACTTCTCTATGCAGACCTTCAAACCTGTTAGTGTCAAACATGGATGCTGTCAATTGATGTATATTTGTGTCCAGGTATTGATATTTCTTTAACTCTTGACATAAATTATATAACTTATTTTCAACATGTAGAGCAAGAAAGCAAAAAGTATTTAAGTTTACCTTTTGTCTTGTAGAAAATCAATGAATGGGTGACTGTTAGTAGTCAGAATGATGGACAGCATAAAAGCAGAAGAGACCTCAGTAGAGATTACAAGAGCTGGAGTTCATCTGCTGCCCTAAGATTAAACATTTAAATCCAAACACATACATTTCATGGCAGCTCACTATCAGCAAGTAGCCACACCACCAGTTTCAATAATCCAAAACTCCAGATGAAAAGATAACAGAACATAAATGGAACCTGGACTTTTTCAACAGCTGACTTATTAGGAAGTAACAAGTGAATGCCTATTTTGAGACCAAGACCACTTTTCACCAAAAGTCTGACTTTTAACATTAATGTATCATTCAGCTTCTTTTTTATAACTGTCTTATTGTAAAAACAAACAAAAGATATGATTCTCTGGACTGGAATTGTGCCAAACTCACATCTTAATTCAGGAAGAACTGACATTCACATCCGATAATACAGTACAGTTCACAGATTTTCAAATCAACTTATTTGCACACTGAGATAGATGAAAAATCCAGTTTGCCATTCTTGAGCATTGTCATTCACATCTCAGTCCCGTAAAGACAGTCTCAGAATCAAAAGTAGCCCCAAAGTGTTTGGAAAAGGCCCTTAAATACTTGGTTCCATATTTTGATATCCATTCCCTGTCCATGTAGCCCATTCTGGCATGGTAGTTCTAGGCAACAATCATATAAAAATATTTTTGAGGATGCCTTTGGTACAGTGTGCCTAAGGATACCATGCAAATATTGTTTACCATGGTCTTACAGCTTCCTGCTGAGAGGACCCTTGCCTAGGTTCTTAAAATTTATCTGGTCTCCCTCATTTACTCTTCTTTTTAATCCTTGCTTAATTTTCTGAAAGGAAATACAGGAAACCTTGCAAACTGCTTTTGCATTCTGCTTTAGATATACTTTCAATGAAGCATTAAATGTTTATCTGGCCACTAGACAATGAGGCATATAAATAGATGAAAATATAAATCTCAAACATATTATCCAGTCATGCACTTTACTTTTTTTTAACCTCAATTTCTTGGGGAATTAATAAGGTGTATATCATCATCCTCAATTTCAGTGAGAAAGCAGAGTCTATAGAAGCTGTAGCATTTTGTTCCAGAACAAAGATTGATTAAAGTAGAGCTAAAACTGTAACATATTTTCAGATACTTAATCTGAAGAAAATGCTATCTGTCATCAAAAACTTTTCTTAAAATTCAAATAAAAATACATTTATTCACTGGAGAAATATTTTTTGAGTACCTGTTATGTTTTCTTAGTGTAGTAGTGGTGTGCTAGTGAGAGAAACAGACAGGAAATACTTAAATAAGAATGAATCACTAAACTGAAGATAGTTGAAACCACAGACATAGAGTTTAGCTGAAATAAATTCAGCTGACCTAACTTTTTTTTCAATAAAATCACTGACTTATATTAGAACTAAATGTACATATTTTACTATTTTTACTCACCGCTATTGCTTATATCCCACTCCATTCCTTAGATTCACTTTTTCTCTTGCTGGAGTCCATCCTTTTGTAGTTCTCTCAGCAAGAATCTGTAAGAGGTAAATTCTATTAGTCTTTGTCCAAAACTTAGTTTCATTCTCTTTTTTGAATAATAACTTTGTTTTGTATAATCTCACATTTTTTCCTCAGCATTTAAAAATTTTATTCTGTTACCTCCTAGCATATATTGTCAGTAATGAAAACATCTACAGTGAGCTTAATTATTGCTACTTTGTAGGAAATCTTTAAAACAATTCATACACAGTTAGATTCTATCATATTGCACCTAGAGCCAAACCATGTGCACTTGTGTAATTTTTGCCCTTTACAAATGAATACAGCTAAGAAAGCAAGTAAAGGCTGAAAAGCAGGCCATGGGCCACTCACTCAAATCATAAAATTAAAGAACAGCATCTGCCAGAGGGCACTGTTTTCTACTTCACATAAAGGTGGCATATAGAGTAGTGATGATATTATAAGCATACAGAGTTGAATTTATTTTTACTAGCATTTTTATTACTTGGATCACTGTATATGAATTTGTCTTCCTTCAGCTCAGAAGAAATTCTCATTAATTCTTCAAATCCTGTCTCTTTTCTATTGTTACTTTTCTTACTTGAACATATATCAGGAATATGTTGGAACTTCTCGACCTCTCTTCTGATCCAAGTCTTTAATTTAACTGTCACTTTTTTTAAGCTCTCAGTGTTTTGTTCTAGGTCTTGCTATTCATTATTTCTTTAGCTATGTTCACTTGTTAATTTTAAAATGACCAAAATTTTCAATGCCGGGATTTCTAATTGGCTCTTTTTCTGCTGATCCTGTTATTGAGTCTCATTTATCTGTTCGCATTTCATAATTCCTTTTTCTTTTTTAAAACTTATTTCCATATTTCTTTTAGGATTTTTAAAATACCCGTTTTACAAATATTTTTTGAAAGATTGCTTTAATATTTGTATTTCTTCAGATAATTCACTTCTTTATTGAGTTTAATGGCTCTATTTCATAAAATTTGACTTTCACCTTCTTGGGTTAGTGTTTTTCCTCACTCCAGCCCATTACCATGGTAAAGTAGCATTTAGATACTTAAAATATATGTTTTAAAATATTTTTGCCAGCATTGTTATCTTGAGGGTATTGAGGGAGGTGGTTATTAACATACTGATTGGCAATACCATTTTAATTAGTATTTTCAAATACACATTTCCAGTGTGTTATTTGTTAAACCAAGAAGCAGTCCTAAGATATTTTATAGATTTGGCTTGCAACATTAGCATTTAGAATTTTGTTTTACAAGGCAAGTTTTTCTAATTACACAGTCCAAAGAGTATCAAACTATGACCTGTAGATCTAATCCAACCTGCTGCTTTTTTTTATGGTCTTTGGAATAAAAATTTTTATATTTTTAAGTGATTGCCTAAGAAATATAGAATAATATGCAACAAAGACAATTTGTGACCCATGAAGCCTAAAATTTTTACTGTTTGGCCCTCACAGAAAAAGTTTGCTGATGCTTGACATATAGTTTATCTATAGATACCACCCCAATTATTTTTATTTTCTGATTATTTTTGATAGATTTTTAAAGATTAATTTTGGTTCAATTAAAATCTTACTAACTTATTTTGTGGATATCAACAAACAAATTCTAAAGTTTATATGGAGAGTCAAAAGACCCACAACAGCCAATACAATACCAAACAAAGCCAAAACAAAGCCACAACAGCCAAAACGAAGTTGGAACACTGACACCAGCTAGCTTCAAGATTTTAAACCTACAGTAATCAAGATAATCAAGTATTTGCAAAAAATTGACAAATACATCAATGGAACATGCTAGAAAGCCCAGGAAAAAGACCCACATAGATATATTCAGCTAAGCAAATACAGTAAAGGAGCAAAGGCAATAAAATGGAGTCAAGATAGACTTTCAACAAATGGTGCTATAACTGGATATTCACATGAAAAAAAGGAATCTAGACATAGACTTTATATGCCTTACTTAAATTAACTTAAAATGAATCGCCTTCGTATATGTTAACACAAAAGTATAAAACTTGTAGGAGATGACGTAGGAGAAATATTTCATCATGTTGGTATGGTGATCACTTTTTAGGTACAAAACCAAAGCCATGATCCATGAAAGAAATAATCGATAAGCTAGACTTCATTGATTAAAATTTTCTGCTCTGAAAATGACACTGTCAAAAGAAGAAAAAGAGAAACCAGAGACTGGAAAAAACATTTGTAAAAGACTCATCTGATAAAGGCCTGTTATCTAAAACATACAAAGAACTTAAAACTCAACAGTAAGAAAATGACCAAATTAAAAATTGGGCAAAAGATCTGAACAGATACTTCACCAATGAAGATAAAGATGGCAAATAAGCATTTACAAAGATTCTTCATATCATGTATCATCAGCGAAATGTAAATTAAAATAACAGTGACATACCACTACGCAAGTACTGATGTGGTTAAAATCCAGAATACTGACAATACCAAATGCTGACAAAGAAATGGAATAACAGAAACTCATATTCATTGCTAGTGGGAATACAAAATAGTACAGTTGCTTCGGAAGACAATTTAGTGGCTTCTTACAAAACTAAACATAGTCTTCCTATATTACACAGCAGTTGAGCGTCTTGATATTTACTCAAATGAATCAACACAACAACCTGCACATGGATGTTTATAGCAGCTTTATTCAAAATTGCCACAATTTGGAAGCAACAACGATATCCTTCAGCAAGTGAATGCGTAAATAAACTATAGCATATCGAGACAATTGTAAATTATTCAGAACTACAAAGAAATGAGCTGTCAAGCTATGAAAGGAAGTGGAGAAAACTTAAAATGCATATTACTAAACGAAAGAATCCAGTCTTCAAAGGCTACATACCGCATGATTATAGCTATGAGACATGGAAAAGGCAAAACTATAGAGATAGCAAAAACGTCAGTGATTTTCAGGGTTGGCAGGAGGGACAGATGAATAGTTAGCACATGGGGGATTTTTAAGGCAGTGAAATTACTCTGTTGAATGGTGGGTATCTGTCATTACACATTTGTTCAAACCCACAGAATGTACATACCAAGAGTAAATACTAATGTAAACTATGGACTTTGGGAGATAATGATCAGTGTGGGCTCATCAATTGTAACTAATACACCACTCTTTTGTGAGATGCTAAAATGGGTGAGGCTATGCATGTGTGGGGCTAGGTGTACATTAGAAGTCTCAGTACCTTCGAAGCAGGATATTTCCCTGACACCTTCATGAGACTTGTGACGGGGATGCCTTGTTCACTCAGCCTACCACTCTCAACCCCTTGTGGGAAGAAGCACATGAGCAAACAAGTGCAGGAACTGGAGCAAGTGCTTTTGGGAACTAGCAGAAACAAATTCCATTTACTCAGCTCACCGCACTCAACCTCATGTGGGAGCAAGCAAATAGGTAAGCGAGTATAGGATCCAGCTGGCTACTTTTGGGCACCCACAAGAGTGAACTCCGTGCAGGCCCTGTGGCAGCATCCAGGCAGGGATGCCTGTGACTCTCGAAGCCCCAGAGGGCATGTGTCATAGCGCTATTTTAGCTCTGCCATCTATGGATGGCTTAAGTGTTAACAGATTAGTGGGCCCTTTGCCTTTTTGGATGAGATGGCTACCCTCCGCCAGTGAGGGCAAAGGGACAGTGTGACAGCTTTTGTATCCACACTCATGACTCCCAAGCTCTTGTCCAGTACCCAGGAAAAATGAGGTCACTCAAACGAACTGAAGGAAGGTAGATGCTGGGGATTTTATTGCCAGTGACAGTGGCTCTCAGTAGGAAGGGGAGCTGAAAAGGGGACGGGGCAGGTAGGTAATCTTCCCCTGCGGTCCAGCTGAAAAGGGGATGAGGCAGGTAGGTAATGTTTCCCTGATGTCCAGCTGTCTCTTCTGGACTTCAGGCCAGATTCTTCTCCAAAGCTAACTGTCAAGATGTCCCTCTGAAGTCAAGCTGCTTCTCTCCAAAGTCCAGCTGTAGTATCATCTTATATTAAATGGGTATTAGATTTTATCAAGTGCTTTTTCTGTATCTCTTGATATCATTCTAATGATTTTACTTTAAAAATCTTTAATGAAGCTCACAAATTTACCTTTTACATAAGAACCTCAGATTCACATGGTCCAATGACAGACAACATTGTGAGATGCTTCACATGAGATGCTTCACAATGTTCATGGGTATACATATTGGTTTCAGGGATTATGCATTTGAGACCCATCAACCTACATTTTCCCAAAGTGTTAATAACTGATTCAAATCAATTGAGCATCCATAGCTGTCCATTGCAGAGCCATATATTAATGTCAGTTATTTTCTATGTTAGTCCAGTATAAATATCATACATATGTTTCTCAGACAAAAAAATAAGAAAATAATTTACTTTGTTTTTTAATGTTTCTCATGTTACTGAAATTCCAAACTGTTTTTCATTTCTTGGTGTAGCAATGTTGGGCTGATGAGAGAAACAGAAAATCACTGATTGAAAAAAAAAGTGAGTTGTTAAATTAAAAACCTTTGGGAACCACAGAAAAGAGAATTCCAGTTAAAGTAAATTTACCAGATGAAAGCTAACATTCTTTTAGATAAAATACATGAGTTCTATATCATAATTTTTTAAGAAACCAAATATTCATTTGTCCTTAAGGATAGTTTGGGTAACTGGCTAGTTCATAAAAATGCTTTTAATTTAATGTGGTAGAGCCCTAGGATATATTTATCTCTTAGTCTTATTCTAGGCATTAAAAACTATAGACAAATTTTGGTCCAGACAGAAAATTTGTATCTACTTTCTACATAAAGGTGCAAAAGGAGCTTCAAAAATTATTTATAGAACTATTTTCCAAGTAATGTGGTGGCTACAGATGAAGTTCATTTAATTATAAGAAAACGATCCATTATTGCCATCTTGTCTCTTTCTAGAGGAAGGGGTCTAGTAGATTTTGCTGGAAGAGCTCATGAAAGCATTGTTTGTTTTTTTTTTTTTTTACTTTATACTTG